CCACAACAGATCCCACTTCCTTTGGGAAATGTAATTGCCAGTGGACTAGAATATTTGCTGATGATACATGGGCCCATGCTGTCATCACACAGCTTCAAAACAGGCGGAAATAGCTACATCATTTTCAGCACGTGGGTCCTTTCTCTGGCCACAGGTGGTTGGAGGAGTGCTGAGCACCTGAGACGTGGTCTATCCTTTCCAGCTTAACTTCAGCCCTGAGGAACAGGTGTTGGTGACAAATTACCCCAGTTCCCTTAACCTTCTGTGCAAAAATTCAGCTTCTTTCCTGCCCCCCCTGCCCACTGCCCCGGTGTTCATGTGACTGAAGATCCAGCTGTCCACCACTGTCCGTACTGCCTGCTCTTTTAGGCACTGGTTCTGTTGTGTTTTTATTTTTTTTTTTTTTTTACCTTCCCTGTCCCACTTTCCCATGCACCCAACAGGGACTCCCTGGATTCACCTTTTAATGAAAATGGCTACTTAAATTAAGGGTTGGATTGTGTGGAAATCAAAACCAAGACAACTGTTTTATTCTTAGTATGAAAATTCAGTTTTAATCCAAAATAATAATTTTTGCAAGTTTATGGGATGGCTATACAATCAGAACAGCCAACATAAGGACGAAAAGGATTGAGCACAGGTTGAGATATTTCTTGAAAATCAGAATTTATAGTTCTAAGAAAAAAAAGGCATGCAATAGTTATAAAGCATTTGAAAAGATGCAAACTGGAACTATATTAGAGGAATATGTACATCTATATTCACAGCAGCACTATTCATATTAGCCCAAAAGCAGAAACAATCAAAATGTCCGCAAATAAACTTTAAAAAGCGATATGGATCTGCAACAGAATAGATATCCACTTTAACAGAGCAGTGGCCTAGAAGTCCTATATTGGAATGCTTGAGTTCAATTCCCTGCTCTGGCCCTACACTACACCATCCCAACAACGTAGAGGCTAGGAGGCAGTAGACAACGCCCCAAGCAGTCAGTTTCTTGCCACCCACTTGGGACAACTAGACTGAGTCCCTGGCTCCTTGAGTGCGGCTGGCCCAGCCTGGCCATATCAGGAATGTAAGCACTGAACCAACAGATGGGAGCTCTGCTTCAAGTAAGAGCAAAGGAAACAACGTTAGATAAACCTACAGCACCTTATGCTAAAACAAAACAATTACATAAAGGTAACATATGTATGCCATTATTGTATAAGGTATCTAAAGTGGCCAAACCAATAGCAAAGGAAGAGGGTTATTACCAAGTTCTGGAGAAAATAGATGTGGTTTAATAGCTAAAAGTTTTGGTTTCATAAGATGAAAAAATGAGATCTGTCACACAAGCAATGAGAATATAGTTAACATAGGTGAACTGTACACTGGAAGATGAGGTGATAAACTCAGTCATGTATTTTACAAATTTTTAAAAATGTAACTGACTATCTTTTTAAATAAAATTAGCATCAATTTTAACAGTATGGTACACCTAATTCATGTAATACTACTTTGTCATGAAAAAGAATGAAATTCTACCATACCAAATGTTTTCTCTGATATAATGCAACCTCCATACAAGACAAATAGATACACAGGTAAGTATGTATATGCCTGTATTCTCATAGATGAACTGTATAATGGAGACTAGCATACTGGGACTTGAAGATACTTTGCACTATTAATCTCTACTGAATGAAAGGAAGATTCCCAATCAAACTGTTAAATACACTTTGACAACAGGATACTAGACTACCTGCCATTGTCTATAGCTAAAATGCCAGGATGCACTCAAACAGCAGAATGCTGGACTTTGTTGCTGAAGGACTACATTATTTGAGAAATATGGGGGAAAGCAGAAGGGGCACCCTGTGCCTATGGAATTATATCATAAAAAATAATTAAAAATTTGAAAAAGTACAACAGCATTGTCACTGAACAATTTCCAAGTCTATACATTCAATAAATAAGCATCAAAATATTAATAAAATCTTGTGATATGAATTATGAACTTCAAAATAATCTGGGAGTAACAGCTTGGGAACATCTGAATGTGTTTATTACATTATTCTGAACATAAATTCTCTAGTTTGCCATGTTCAAATTTTAAAATGAAAAGTCACCGTAACAATACAGATTTATTGGCCAATGAGTCTCATTAATAAATTATGGAATAAATTATATAAATTTTATGACAAATTTATAATCATAAATCATGACTTAACTCCTCTCAAGTAAAGAATCAAAGCAGAAGGAAATGTTATGAACCCTTCACAGTTTTGACAACAAGGACAACAGGTACAGAGTTTATAGATGTTACATATTCTCAGAAATCATTCTTCTATAGAATCTACATTAAATTAAGTTTGACATAGCAGATTCCCTTCTCCAAAAAAAATTCATTCTTAAATCTTTAGTAGGTGCCGAACACAGTACATAACCAAACCCAAGACTTGCATATAATATTTCTTTTTCCCTTAAGCCATGCATTGTTGTCACAAAGTATTAGAATAATCCATCCTTTCAAGTTTTACGCTCTGGAGCTGCCTTCACACTGCCTCTGTAGGTCTTTAAGATTATTACTTGACCACAAACACATATACACAGACAGTACACCAGCTACCACATGATTCATGAGTATTGATTTTCCATACGAAAGGATGATTCAGCTCTGTGGCAGTACTGAGTAAGAATGACACAAAATATCATCATGCTATTCAGAAGAGCAAGCAATTTAAAACATACGAATTTCTTCTAGAATGTCCAATACTAATATTTTTAGATAACAATAAACTCCAAATAATTCAAAGGACAGAAAGCAAAACTGTGGATACACAGGCAGGAACTACTAGTAGTACACTGAACAGGTTTTAACCTGAGATATTTGTGATTTTCCAAGATTCACGGGTTAACCACCATTTTGAATCACAATGCGAAATTTTACTGGACAAATACATAGGCACAGTTTATGTCCTATTGAGTTTAATATCTGCTTTCTTCACTTCTGACACTAAAATCTACACATGTGCACTCATACATAAAACTCTATTAAGCCTCTTTTTTTTTTTTTTAAAGCCAGCATCACAGTGTGGAGTACTGGTTTGAGTCCCAGCTGCTCCACTTCCATTCCAGTTCCTTGCTAATGTGCCAGGAAAGCAGCAGAAGAAAGTTGAGGTGCCAGAGCCGTGCAATCCACACATGAGACCAGAATGGAGTTGTGGCTCTTCAGCCTGACACTTGTGGCCATCTAAGGAGAGAGCCACCAGATGGTGGGTCGATCCATCAAAGAATCTCTCTCTCTCTCTGTCTCTCTCTCTCTCTCTCTCTCTCTCTCTCATTCTCTGTTGCTTGGCATTCCAAATAAATATTTCTTCAAAAATATTTTGAGACATTAAAAAAAAACGATCTCACGGATTTAACAAAACTGGCAAATGTGTTTGAGACCATCTGAAACCCAGTCAATATACCGTTAAGATCAAAACCTAAACAGTCTATGTTAGACACATTAAAGATCAGTTTGAGGGTAGGACCTGAGAGATGGCCACAGCACCAGCAACTCAGACACCGGCCAGGCCTGCACAGCTCATCACCAGGCCAGATGTGGCATCAAGACTCCAACAAGCAAGAAAACTAACAAGTTTTACAGGAGACCTTCAAACAACAAGCAAAGCAGGGACACCTGGGATGCCTGAGCTGATTCACCACGGAGCCGTTTCTCAGGAGAGGAAACGCCACAGTGCTCCAGGGGAAGTAGATATCCACATAACCAGGGTTAAAGAGTCACTTCAGCAACCTAAAGAAACCTGTGAATGCTGAATGTCTCCCACAACTCAATGAAAGAAAAAGTCATTCTTCGTGCTACGTAAATTGAGCAAAAATTTAAACCTCCCCCCTCAACAATGGCATAAGCTGAAAGAATGAGGAAGTGGGGTCAGAAGACAGCAGAGAACACAGAGTAAAACATGCATCCCCACTCCACCCCCCGGCAAGGATTCAGACTGTTTTGATCAAAGAAAGGCTCCTTTAACAAACTTACAGATTCAGGTTTAAACAAATTGTCTCCTGGAGACTTTTTCACAAATACACCTCTTACTTTGGTTCCTACTAACTTTTGATGGTATTTGTTCAGACGAGTACAACTATTATTGCCACTAAATTCTATAAACCTTTACCTGTTTCTGTAGCTCCCATTTAATGTCTATATTTTAAATAAGTGAAGATAAAAGTCCTAGTAATGCATGATGAAAATTTTTTAAAATTATTATTTAACTAAGTCATTCACTTAAAACATTAAAATTCTCCTGCTACTGGAACCACAAAATGCATTAGGTAAAAATATTACCTCACAACTAGAGTGAACCTTAGAAATGTAGTCCAAATCCACCATCTAATTTTCAAGCATACTTGCCAGAAATCAAACACTCCTACCACATCCAGAAAATAGCACCTCTGTAGAGTTCAGTCATTCTTTTGTTATACCACAAGGTTGATATCTCAATATATTACACAGGGAACAGCATCTAAGAAAACCTTTGCAAAAGGATAAAAATGGTACTCCTTAAAATGATTTATTTTAGCGACTTAACTGTCCATTAACTAGAAATACTGGGATAAACACAATACCACAAAGCATTATTTTACTAAAACCAAAAAAGCTACTGCCGCCACTGTTGGCTGCAGAAGATGGCCTTTCACAAACACAGTTCATTTGACAAAACACAAGATGATCACTGTTTTTCACCTTGATAATTACAGCTAAAAGTTGCAAAAGCTACAAAGAGCGGATATTGTCAAAGTGTCTAATAAAACACCCAAAAAATAGCTACAGATTTTAATTCTACACGTTTATATTTAACTACTACTTTAGGAAAAAACAGATATTCTCTGTCAAATAGTTTGGAAAGACATGTATTTTGTCAAATTGTGGAACACCTTCGCAATTCTACAAAACGAGAGAACACTAACAGAGCGGTTAGGAACACTCTGACATCAGGAGTCGGAGGGAATCTTACCATTGGCAGTGCATTGATGTGGGAATGTGCAACTGAATGTCCGGTACCGCCAACCACAAGCTGTTGCTGCTGATGCTGAGAAAAAGGAAAGTAAAGTATTCAGTGTGCCCTAAAACACATTTCATTTACAAGACTTTCCAGACCAAATTGATATTTTTTTCACTGTCTATTTGCTTACACTCTCCACCAGCAAATCTTTATCCCCCCCAAGCAAGTACTACCATGAAAACAGCAGCAACTTTGGAGTGCACGTGGAACATGAGCCAAGTTCCATTTCCAAGCAGCTAATGAAGAGATCAGAATGAGATGCAGAAATCAATATGCACATAGAGTACTCTCAACCGTATTCAATTCACCCAAGGTAAATATTGCTGTGTTAGGGTCCAATATGGCGTGTTAATATTCCATGATCATGAGCTGTAATAATAATACAGAGGGCCAGTGTAATGGCTCAAATGGCTAATCTGCCACCTGCAAGCACCAGCATCCCATATGGATGCTAGTTCATCTCCTGACTACTTCGTTTCTGATTCAGCTCCCTGCTTGTGACCTGGAAATACAGAGGAGGGCAGCCCAAAGCCTTGGAACCCTGCACCTACATAGGAGATCTGCATAAAGCTCCTGGCTCCAGATTAGCTCAGCTCCAACCTTTGCAGCCATTTGGAGAGTGAACCAACAGATGAAAGCTCTTTCTCTCTCTCTCCTTTCATTGGAAACGGATATTTACAGACAACAAATAAATCTTTGGCAGAAAAAAAGATATAAATACGTATTCTACATTGTAATAATAGAGGAACATCTAAATAACCAACTTTCCATCAGAGTTAATTATTCTTTCAACTGTTTGGGGCTTATACTTTATTTCCATCTTCTCAATCACTAAATTTGAACATGTTGCTGTCCATGAGTCTTTCTTGGATATATATAAGCTCTGCTTCACAAACCATGTTAGAACACCAGCCACTAGGGAAGGCTGCACCAGCATCTGAGTGGAATAAAAGTGCCACAGAGAGAGGTGCTTACAAAAACTTGCAGGAAGTTTGTCCCCTGCACCAGAAGGGAACTGGGCAAGTAAACACTAACAGTTTAAGCCAACGCACTGGAAAACCGTGCAGATGCATGTTCACCACCTAACATCTACTCCCCTCCAGTTTTATCTTCACTGGACCAGCCAATTCAAGCATCCTTGTTGCTGACCCCATGGCCATCCCAACTAACTTCAGTGGTACTATGCAACTTTCAAGCAGCTATGCTGTAAGGGGTCTAGGAATTAAAATAACATTTACTAAACACACCCTTATTAAACATACAATATTTCATCCATTTCTGGTGCTTCCAGATACTCCATGGGAGTGAGCCCTAACAGTTTTTGACATGACACATCTGCATACCTGTAAGCAAATCCATTCTAGCAGCTACGGAAATGTTTTATAGACATCATGACTCAATCCAGGCAAGAACCAGACACCACTGGCTCTGCTATGCTCAGGATTGTGAGTTACATGACATCAGCCATTTCACCAATATTTTAGCTAAAGCTGTGTACAGCTGCTTGCTAATCAAAATCAGCAAAGCATCCTTATCAGAAAAAAGCTTTTGGTTGACGTGCATTCTATGTTTATAAAAATGTGCTACTAGACTATATTTTTAAAATGGAAGCAAGCAGTTATTTACAATACAACAACTTCTTGGTTCATAACCCTGCAGATTCTTAAGTGTGTTCTGTATCACTATTAACTAATACTTTAAGGCTAAATGTTCAGTAGCATCAATCGTGCATATGTGTCTGTTTCTTTCTTAATAATCTCTGACTTTTTTCAGACACTGAATGACTGAATCACAGCAGCTAAAGAGCTTATGCTAGTAACCTCAGTTTTGGCTCTGCTACTTCCTTGCTTTTTATTCCCATTTTCTGTGCAAGCAATTTCTCTGCAAGAATCTTTAAGTCGTTAAATTGTTCTTGTGAAATCTGGTTAAAACTAAATAACCCATAAGCCTACATAATCAAACACAAGAAAACAATGCAACTACCTTGCAGTGGTAGTTAAACTAAAATCACGAGGCGACGTCAGAACAGAGAAAGAACGGAAGGGTGGACAGTACTGCGTTCAGTCATCCCTCATTCCTCTAATTCCGCTATGCATTACCACAGGTTTCCGACAAGGCGGCCAGATGGAATGCAAATTTGAATCTGTGGATTAAGGGCCAGAACGACTTGATTTTTTTAGAACTAAAATCAACACAAGCAGACAACTACAGCACTGAACCAGCACACCTGTCATTCACATATGTAAATTAGATCATTCTAGTTGCCCAGCTTTCCCATCTTTACTTGGTTCCCTTTTGACATTTCTGTGCCCTGTAAACACATGCATTATCCTTACAGATCCTTCCAGAAATCTGTTTTCACTAATTACCTCTCTTTTAACCTTTACTTCACTCTTTGATCACTTTCATGAGGCCATAGCTCTGCAAGAGGAAAGACTGCAATCGTAAGTTGACAAATACTTGATTCTAAGTTGTGAAGTGTAAGTATCTGTGAAAACTGCATGTCCACATGCACATATAATTCAATCTGAAAAAATGAGGGACTTTTAGAAACATATACAGCACCGTGTTTTTAACTTTATTTCAGATCTTTTCCTGTCAATTTATTCATCTATGCACTAGCCACTGCATAGTCCATTTACAAAGCCTACCGCATAATTAAAATTACTACCTTAAGGATAGCCTCATTATTACTAAGGAAATTTAAAGACTTTAAGGTGGATTGTATCTAATCTGGGAAACTAATTCAAATGTTTCACAAAACACCAAAATGGTGCATACCTTTTCCAAGTGCTGTCCTATTCTCACTTCTTCAACATCTATTCAAATCACAAACAACAGGTTCTCTGCATTCTTTGGCCACTGCAGTGCCCACAAACTTCATCCACACTTTATTCAAGAATGAGCCTAACTAACTTTCTGTGTTAGTCATCATGCATGCCTTCATCCCCAAAGTGAGAGGTGTGCCTCCTTTACCAACCTCGCTTCTCCCCAAGTACAAAGCTCTGTGATCACGCTTCCCCTATTAGACTTGGCGAGACCCCCAAGTACACTGTACTCTCCCACTACAGAAGTAACAGGGCTTTAGGCAGTATACGGTAGCTTTTAAGATTTGTATGTTGGCCTGGAGTGATAGTGTAATAAAGTCCTCGCCTTGAACACGCCAGATCCCATATGGGTGCCGGTTCTAATCCTGTGGCCTGGGAAAGCAGTCGAGGAAAGCCCATGGCCTTGGGACTCTGCATCCATGTGAGAGACCCAGAAGATGTTCCTGGCTCCTGGCTTTGGATTGGCTCAGCTCTGGCCATTGTAGGCACTTAGGGAGGAGTAACCAGCAGAAGATCTGTCTTTCCTTTTCTCTGTAAATCTTTCTAATAAAAATAAATAAATCTTTTTTTAAATTAGTATAAAAACTGCCAATTATTTTGCATAACTAAATCTATATTGCTCTAATTCTCACAATGAAATATACGCTTCTCTGTAGGTGTCTTTTCTATCTCAAAACAAAAAGCCTTGTTGGTGGAATCTGTATTTCAACACATTTAAAGACATATGAATTTTAGAATAGGTTTTTGGATTAGAAAGGCACTGTCACTGTTAATTCATTACATGCCATTTAAAACGTAACCACCTACACGATTATGAAGATTGTAAGATGCAAAAATTCTGTGAAATGGCAAATGCTTTGCAGTCCATAGAAATGAACATTTGTGACTTATCCCTTTGCAAAGTTACTGGATACTGGCCCAGGCAGCGTGGCCTAGTGGTCCTCGCCTTAAACACTCCAGGATCTCATACGGGCACCGGTTCTAATCCCACCAGCTCCACTTTCCATTTAACTCCCTGCTTGTGGCCTGGGAAAGCAGTCGAGGACAGCCCAAAGCTTTGGGACCCTGCACCCACGTAAAGAGATTCCTGGTTCCCAGCTTTGGATCAGCGCAAACCAGCCATTGCATTCACTTGGGGAGTGAATCATCGGATGGAAGATCTTCTTCTCTGTCTCTCCTCCTCTCTGTATATCTGACTTTGCAATAAATAAATCTTTGGAAAAAAAAAAAAAAAGAAAAGTTACTGGATACCATGTGCCCTTTTCCTGGGAAAAGTTATAAACACAACACCTATTTACTATTTAAGGTAATAACACAACTCAGTCTAGAATCTGATGGCAAATAACAATCTAAAGGAAGTACAATGTGGGATTGTTTAAAAAAAAAAAAGGGCCAAAAATTAATTTAACTACGAAGAATTTGATGACAATCACATCAAAAATTAAAAGCAAGCTCAGGGCCCGGCGGCACAATGGCCTAGCGGCTAAAGTCCTCGCCTTGAATGCGCCTGGATCCCATATGGGTGCCGGTTCTAATCCCGCCAGCTCCACTTCCCATCCAGCTTCCTGCTTGCTTGTGGTCTGGAAAGGCAGACCAGGACGGCCCAAAGCTTTGGGAACCTGCACCTTGTAGGAGACCTGGAAGAAGCTCCTGGTTCCCGGCTTCAGATCGGCATAGCATCAGCCGTTGCGCTCACTTGGGGAGTGAATCATCGGACAGAAGATTTTCCTCTCTGTATATCTTTCCAATAAATAAATAAATCTTTAAAAATAAATAAATAAATAAAAGTTCAATAATTTTATCTGCTCATATTTTTGTACAAGCACTCCTGGGGGTAAAGTAACAGATACAGCTGTAAATTAGATGTCTTCGTTCATAATCAAAACCATAGGTTAAAAAAAAAAGTAATCAGCTGGGCCTGTTGAGGTGGCCTAGCGGTTAAAGTCATCGTCATGCACACGCTGGGGTCCCAAATGGGTGCCAGTTCATATCCAGGCTTCTCCTTCTCCCATCCAGCTCCCTGCTAGTGGTCTGGGAAAGCGGTAGAGGGCGGCCCAAAGCCTTGGGACCCTGCATGTGCTTGGGAGACCTGGAAGAAGTTCCAGGTTCCCGTCTTCAGATCAGCTCAGCTCCAGTGCTTGAGGCTACTTGGGGAGGATGACCACCTGATGTAAGATCTTGGTCTCTCCTCTCTGTAAA